TCCCCTGAGAACAAAACTCACTCTAGATCTGCTAAGTTTCTTGATGGCAAAAATGGCACACACATACACACTCTCTTTGCCGAGGAAAGTGAGCGGTATTTAAAGAAGCTTCTGGATATTGGGTTACAGAGGAGTCCCTTTGAAATGGTCGAAAACTGGATAAATGACCCCATGCATTGGCCAAATATGGACTATTCAGATCTAACGTTACCACTATCTCGTGGAATCACCAAGTGAGTAGCTTATTTTTTATTTTTTTTTGTCATTAACACTGACAGTATGACAAACTAGACGATGAATGGATGATTTAAGCTATTGACATTGTTGTCGACTAGCTATAATATACTGTTAAAATAGTGGCAGGCTAGGACTAAAGTGGACTTGGCTGGTTTCTGCTTGTGTCTAGAAAGAGCTAGGACTTTGAAAGTTGTAAAAAGGGGTACAGTGTATGGCAAAATTTGTGTTGGACCTATGTTTGTATGGGGCTATCAAATTGGATGTTGTGACATTACACTATCATATCTATCCTATAAGGCTTGATCTACTGCCGTTTGTGTTGTTGCATGTACTGTAGCCCAGAGCAGTGGTCGTCAAAAATTCAAGTTGGCCTAAAGCACTTTCTAGACACAAGCAGAAACCAGCCAAGTCTACTTTAGACCTAGCCTGCCACTATTTCAACTGTAATCAGTTAACAGCCAATGTAGCGTGCCTAGTGAGAGCTAATCACGTATTAGCTACTAGCAGCTTAACGTTAATCTTTCTAACTAGTATAGCTAGTCGACAACAAAACTATGTCAATAGCTTAAATCAAGTTAAGTATGATCCAAGTGACATGGCCTCATCGTCTAGTTTGTCATACTGTGTGTTAATGACAAAAATAAATAAAAAATACGCTGCTTACTTGGTGATTCCACGAGATTGGTAGATGTCTGAATAGTCCATATTTGGCCACTGCGAGGGGTCATTAATACGGTTTTTGACCATTTCAAAGGGACACATCTGTAACCCCGAATCCAGTAGCTTCTTTAAGTTTGTGACATTTTTGTTATCAAGAAACTTTGCAGCTCTAGAGCGAGTTCTGTTCTCAGGGGAATCCGTTTGTTTTCCCCCAAAAGGGGGCGTTACCCTTCGATGCCGCAAAAGTAGCGTTGGCCTAAGTGGATGAAGGACAACAACTGCCAGAATGCACTTGCTTTGCTGCCCTAGGAGGCTATGCCTACCAGTAATGGAGCGCAGTAGTTAAAGGGATACACCACTTTTTTTGGAAATAGGCTCATTTTACAACTCCCCCAGAGTTAAACAGTTGGGCTTTACCATTTTCGAATCCATTCAGCTGATTTTCTGCTATTTAGAAGAATATCAGTAACCAGACAGTTTCTGGTCTCGTTGACTTCCATAGTAGGAAAAAAATATACTATGGAAGTCAATGAGACCAGAAACTGTCTGTTTACTGATATTCTTCTAAAAATCAGAAAATCAGCTGAATGGATTCGAAAACGGTAAAACTCAACTGTTTAACTCTGGGGGAGTTGTAAAATGAGCCTATTTCCAAAAAAAATGGTGTATGCCTTTAAACAAGAAGTCTAGGCAACTAGTGAGTCTCCATGATGAGTATGCCCGAAAATGTGTTTCGAGATCACCCAAAATGTCCAGGATTCGGCTTTTGCGTTCTACAGTAGCCATTCACATAGTAAATATGAAAGTGATTTTAATGTGCATGGTCTGATGTGATCATTGCATTTATTAAACCTAAAGAGACTGATTTTAGAATAATGTTTCTCTTTAGGCTGTAGATTATAAGAGCAATAAGACAGATATTTTTAAGTGTTTTAACAAACTTGGCTTTATCAATAAATCAAGTCAAACTTTCAATTCATTTGCATCATCTCTCAGAAATGTTCACTGATGTTGTGCATTTCGATTGGCTTTAAGTTTTAATTTGCCTCTTTTTTTTGTGCAAATAGCCTAAAATTTTCCTCGTTATTGATATTTATTCTTAAATTCAAAATTATTAAATGCCATTTTCACTTTTTTTTTACTTGAATTTATTGTGCTTTGAACATTTAACTATTTTAAATCTACTTGTCTAAGTTGTGGTTGAGGCAATAATTTAATGTTTTGCAGGAGACAAAAAAATGAATAAAATCATCACTGCAAGCTGTTTTGCAAGCAAATGAATATCGAGATTATATAGCAATAATGCCTGGTACCCAATAAGCAAAAAATTACTTTGTCAGTCTTTTTAAAAATTTGTCTTGTTTTATGCAGAAGCCATGAAAGAATAAAAGATCCCATCATGCGTGATGTTAACACAATGGTTGTAAACCTATATCGACACTCAAACACCGTGTGATCCTGTCCATCCTTTTTGAAATTGTCACATGGTCTTCATTATCGTCACTCCACGAGTTACGGTAATCTGCTAAATGTAGCCACCTCTCCCAGCATAGTACTTGGATGTTTAACCCTTTTCTCCCTTCAAGGACAAACAGTGTACGTGACGGGAGATCTCTGTGCGAAAATCCCCGAGCTCTCTTGAAGCAGCAGATCTCTTTTTCAACGCCAGCTGTTCTTCCAGATAAACTCTGCGGCGCGCTCGCAGATTCTCTTAATATGATTCCGCAGGGTCGGGCTCAGGAGAATAGACGCGAAACAAGCGTGCCAGGAGAAAGAGAGCGTTGAATTTTTCATCAGCAGGCCCTCGTAGCGCTGCAGCACTTTTTTAGTAGGCGTCCGGCTCATTCATGAGCAGATGTTCAGCGCAGGTCCAAGCTGCAGTTAGCATGAACTCTGCTGCCCTCTCAGCCGTTGGCTGCAAGGACGTTGGCAGCGACCCCGGCATCTGAGAATTCATTCCCGGCAAAAGCGTTGAGCGCCGCTTCGCCCAGACCCCTTTTTTAGCCGCGTTGCCCAGCCCAGGAGCCGGCCAGAAATGGAGGAGGGCTTTTCTTTTGACAGGCCATCAGTCTTCGCTCTGACACTGATGAAAGACTCGCCCGGGTCAACTCAGGGGACCGGCCCCAAAAATTCCTGAAGACAATTTTGCTCAAGTTTATCATTAATTTTTTATGACGTCCTCTGTATGAAAATAAGCCACCTGGCACGAAAACCTAAACAGCCCCTTTTTGAAAACAAAAGCAGCTTTTTTTTTTTTTTGCGTCGTTTGCGTGAAGGTACCCTTGAAACGAGGAATTGGTATATCAGATTAATGCAGGTGGTTTAGGGGAACGCATTGGTCAGGCTGATCTCTACACTAAAGCCCAGCTGCTGCTGTGGTTAGCCAGGTGGTTCGGTTAGTGTGGTGACCTCAATACAACCCAAGAGACTTGAATAACAACCAATACAGATGAAGCATTATCGTGTTTCATTTACATAACACTGTTATGTTGCCATACGTCCATGTAGCCTTTTCCCGTCTGCATATGTTCCGGACGGAAAGTGTGAAATGTTTTTCTTCTTCTTCGTTGCGACGCATGTAAAGCCGTAATTGAAGGATGATGAGGTTTTTAGTCGTCTTTTTTTCCCTCCCCCTTCAAGCACTTGTTTCTTCAGCACGTCTCCTACTTCACACTATCTAATTGGCCATTTTCAGGTTGGGTTTATGAGAGCAAAACTAATTAGTGTTTCTAAATTCAGAGAGCAAGAAAAAGGGAGAAAAAAAAGGAAAACATGGGTGAATGGATTGTTCTGGTTTCCTCTCTGGTGTCAGGCTCATAACAATGAAATAAAGAGTCTAATCACTTTTAAACTGCTGTGTTTTTTTTTTTAACCAACACTGAATGTCACTTTCTCTCCTGGCATTTTGTTTGGCACGATCACAAGCCCGGGAATAAAGCGAGTGCTTGCCCTCTTTACAAACTTTTTCCATTGTAATTCGTGGGAAGGCAATGCAGGGGGAAAAAAACAATGCTCGTGTTTTTAGGTGGGGTCGTTTCTTCTTTTGATTCGGAAAGACGGGGGAGGGTGGAGAGTTTACAGTAGCGTTGACTTTTCGCCCGTTACCTTTATTCAGAGAGCTCCAGCTGCAGCTCGCCCTCAGGAAGGCCACCGCGGGTGCGCACTCACACACACCGGCCCTCGGCGTGAAAGAAAGCCCTGTTTGAGTTGGCACGCGCAACTTTTGCTGCCTCTGCAAGACAGACACCAGCGGCGTCCGCGCTGGCCAGGCGGGCCGCCGTTCTTCTAATCAGGATGTGCCTTTTCCACCTCTCTCAGGAAACACATTTCTGCCTCTCCCTCCCCTCAGCGCTAAAAAAGCGAGGGACGGACTTGAGGGAGAAAGTCGGTGAAGATGAGTGACAGGATTGGAGTCCGAAGGGGATTGGGCTAATCTGAGTTTAGTAGCGCTCCCTCAACACCTCACCCTCCCAGTCTCCTCTGGGCCTTCATTTATATTGAATAGAAAAAAGTTTATAGGTCAGTTTAACAATGTGCCGTAAAACTCGCACTATTTTTATTTTTCTACCTTGCTGCCGGGGGGATTTGCGTGTTGAGGGCCAGTAATTAAGAAGCAGTGAATCCAGGGTTAGGGAGGAAGAGTGTTTAAATGCAATTAGAGCACCCGCTCGAATCAATTTGAACCCAATTACAGTTTTCGTAAATGTGCTATTATTTGTTTAATCAAGGGAATTTTGCCCTCTTAAGATGCTAAAAATGTATCGCGATATTATTTAAACACGGAGCGAAAATAAACTCGACGGAAGCGGTTAATGAGCAATTTCAAAGTGACCTCCCTCCATGTGCCCTCCCCCGTTACCTTGTTCTTCTCCGAAAAAGAAAACTTCATTTGATTTGTCTGGAGATAAAGCTATCACAATACCACTGGATAATTAGCACAAAATCCACATCAGTTTTTTTTTTTTTTTTGGGAACTGGATGTGGAGCACTAGTCTCTGATGATTCAAAGTTTCAGTAGATTTCCTCATTTCTCACTGTATGTTCTTCTCTTGTCTCTGTCTGCTCTCTTCCACCACTCTTTCTACCTGCTGTCTGTTCTGCAGGCAGGAGCGTGCAGTGGTCCAGCCCTGTGGATGCTGAACGGTACGTGTTTGTTTGTCTGAAAACACATTTGGACACTCCTTAAACACATACTTTAAACCAATTTTAGTGAATGTCATTTTAGTGAATGTGTAAAGTCTGTACCCCTCAAGTTGTTTTCCCACCTTCAATTACTATATGAACAGCAATTCTGCTGTATGTAATTTAAACAATCCAACAAACCATTTTTTTAATGAAATGTTTTTTTTATTTTAAATAAATGCCTCTTGTTTTAATATTTAAAGGAGAACTCCGGCACAAACTGAACCTTTGGTCTAATAAAACATTGGTACCTAGTCGACCGTTCTCTGAGATTTGTTTTCATGATAATCGAATGTAAAGAGATTTATTTCTAAAAACTGTTTAGCGTATATTGCTAGTATATGGGGGCATTTAATAAGTATAAAGAAATCGCTAGTTAATACCACTGACAAGGCTCAAAATAGCCCCACACTAACACCGTAACATAATGAGGGTCCATACACGCAAAACGAACCATTGAAAACTTTGTAAGTGTACAAGACTGTTTAATGAGAAGATATTTTATATACTTCGTCAATACAGGCGGCGCCATCTTTGGAAAACGGTCTCGACAAGTCACATCACGAACGATGTGCCAAGTAAGTTGAACTGTATAAAGTTCAGCGAACTTCTGAACTGTTTGAACGGCGTTCGTGGATCGACTTGTCGAGACTGTTTTCCAAAGATGGTGACGCCTGTATACACAAAGGGTACTGTCTTTATAAAATATCTTCTTATTAAACGGTCTGTACACTTACAAAGCTCTCAATGCTTCGTTTTGCATGTAGGGACCCTCATTATGTTACTGTGGGGCTGTTTTGAGGCTTGTTAGTGGTATTAACTAGCGATTTCTTTTTACTTATTATATGCCCCCATTTACTAGCGTTATTCGCTAAACAGTTTTTAGAGATAAAACTCTTTACATTCGTACATGCATTTATTATATATTTATTTCGGCAAGCTGTCAGCATGTAGGCCTACGCAAGGTCGGTTCTAGCTAATCTGAATTCGAAGACTGTACACAGTTTACCTATAGTGTACCACCACAGTTGTTTTTGAGCCTTCACTTCCTGTGTGATGTGTAAACAAAACAAACAAACCATGATACTGCCCACGTCACAGTGCCAGTCTATGTTCAAACCCTGTTGTTTACAGTAAACGTTCATATATGTTCATGACCTTCAGTCAAAAAAAGCATCCGTTTGCGGCGCATGACACGCCGTATTAGTGCTCATTAGCATATTGTCTTTGAAACAAACATTAATCCACATACATTATGCATTTAAACATCTCAATTCTGTCATCAATGTTAGATGCAAAATACATGTTTTAGTCAGTCCATTGTGAGTTTAATGGAGCTTTTAGAAAAGTGCTTCTAACAGTTTTACCCGCTAGTAAAACTGTGTACTGTGTATGTTACTGATTGATAGTAAATGGAAAACATGAATGTAAATTGTGTCATTTGATAATGTAAATGGAGAGCCGAGCTATTTTCCCCCACCCCCATAAAGAAATCAGCCCTATTTACATAGTCAGTTGTGCTTATGAGACTTATGGAAATCAATCTCTTGTCATTTTCCAACTACACCATTTCACGTTAGTTCAGAGATCACCGATTTGAAAGTCAATATGGTGACATTGGCTCAGCTCCATGTTGGTAACATGAATTAAACATAACAAACAAAACAACATGCTCTTACAACAAACTTTTAGATGAGTTTTAATGCACTATTCCCCCACATTGCATGCGAATGAACCCAAAATGTATGAATATTTCCTCTTGAATATTGTTTTTTTTTTTTTTTTGATGGCGCTTAATGAAAGTCCAAAGTTTTGGCGATCTGAGTTAAAAAGCACTCCAAATATGTTTAAGTGCAGGTTATTATTATTTAGTTATTCAGATTTATGACCATAACAGAAAGCGAAAGCAGGTGGATTCGAGCTTGTCCATTAAAGTGTACTTTGCAGGGTCCAGTTTTAAAGTGGCCAGCAAGGCAGTTGTGACGAGAGTTATTGAAGAGGGTCTTCGTTTAAACGTCTTGCACAAGGTTTTCCACTTTCTTTAAAAGCACTTTTAGGACTCATAATTGCTACTTACATGTTGCAGATGGGTTATGACTAATGAGGGGACTACATTTATGATTTAACATGAGGACATGAAAGCTCTTCTTGCTGTTGAATTTAACCTTTTTTAATATTGACTAATTATTTAGGTTAGGAAAGATCTTAAGGCACAACGCGGTACTTTAATACATTCCATTAGTTGCATTAGTCGACACCTTTCAGAGCTTTTCTACCTCGTTTTTGTAATGTCTTTGAGATGCATTTGACTGTAGCCTCACATGCTTGTGCAGAATATGACATTAGAACATAATAATTGAACTGTACAGGTCGGTTGACTTGACACTTTTGAGAAGTGATCACACCTTGGTTGAATGTGGCCCAAATCTTTTTATTTTTATTAACCACTGACGTGAACAGAAAAATATTGAATGAGTATCTGCTTTTTTGAAGGCATGAAAAGTCTGTTCCCTGACTAGTTTTTTTATATAAACAGTTTTTTAAAAAATTATTTTGCAATTTTGAGGCTCTAACCCGTATCTGTTAACTTTGAGGTCATCTTATGCCAACTATCTACTGTATATGCTTTTAAAAACTCTATTGGCTATTTTAAAAAAGGACCCCTTCGTTATGTTCCGCCCCAACTTCCTGTGTAAATAGGAAATACCTCAAGTGTGATTGTCATTTCTTAAAAAGATCATGCAAACAGCCATACAAAAAAGAAACTGAGCAGAAAATTGGACTTGCACACTGTGGTTTGTGCTGTGAACTTTGGTTTCATGTATACAGAGTATTCTCCACACTTCGTTTTTTCCGTTTTTGTCGTTTACACTACCGTTCAAAAGTTTGGGGTGGGTACGTTTTGTTGTTTTTGTTGAAAGACTCTTGTGCTCACCAAGGCTACAATTATTTGATCAAAAATTTTATCACAATTTAAAATGACTGTTTTCTAATTTAATATCACTTGTGTAATGTTTTCCTTTGATGGCAAAGCTGAATTTTGTTGATTTGGCTGCTCAGGAAGCATTGATTATTATCAATGTTGCTTTACATTTTAGTCAAAACCATGATGCATTATTTTTTTTATAGAAATAAGAAAGTAAATAGAATAGAAACTTCTAAAGAATTTTATTTGAAATCTATTTTGTAATATGATAAATCTCTTAACTGGCACTTTAAAAAAAATACAATAATTATTATTATAAAATATTATTATTACTTGCTGTTGCTTTAAAAAAACAAAACTTATTACTGACAGGTTATATCTATAGGTCTATGTGTGCTTAAGCAAACTTAAATCTTTAGCAAAACTGTTCACTTTATGCACTTTAGGTGATACATTTTCTGTATTTCCTCAAAAAAATTTTTTGGTTCATTTTTTCAACATCTTGCTTTTAATTTACTAACTTAATTTAGTTAGTCACAATGTCTTTTTTTTGTAGTTTTGAGATTAAAACTCCTGATGCAGTCTTTTTTTTTTTCATACACGCAGACATTGGCAATGTCTTTTTGTCCACAATGGTGACTTAAGGGTCAATCCCATCTGTCCTCCCCTCTCCCCCTCTGCCCGGTGGTGTTATACACCCCTGCTTCACACAGCTCTGCCAAAGCGACTCACCCCAGCCTGTTTGTGCCCTGTCTCTGTTTGTAAATACACAGACGGAGGACGCGGGTGCCGCTCGGGGTCATGACTGCCTCGCGGACGCTCGAAACCCAATGTGACAAACAACAGATGAGTCACAGCACCCCGAATCTAAAGAAGCAGAGAGTTTCTCTCTCTGTCTCGCGCTCTCTCTCCCCTTGGGTCACGTAAAGATTAGTGACACCTTCGCTGGCATCCTATAGGCCTCTGCCAAATCCTGCCATATCATCCTGCCTCAGTGCCAGTTCCCTCCCCCTTCCCTTTTCTGTGTATCTTTCTTTTTCTCACCCAGTCATAGTCAGAGTTTTGTTCTCGTTTAAAGATATGGCTGGTTTTCTCCATGCCAATTAAACATGAGGCATTGGATCATTTTAAATGGGGTTTTTTAATTTTAAATTATACTGTAAATGGGTGATAGCTTCACTTTGTTTTTGTCAAAATAGATGCATGTATGTGTGTGTTAATATATGAAGAGTTCAGATGCAAAAGCCTCTAAATGCCATTTGAAATCAGTCATTTTTATCAAGCTTGTATATTTAAGTTCAGCAATTTCACTTAAATGGCAAGTGAAATTACTGAACTTAAATATACAAGCTTGATAAAAATGATCATTTTAGAAGAAAATTTCAAATGGCACTTAGAGGCTTTTGCATCTGAACTCTTCATATTTATTATTGTAATGTTTCTTTGTGTGTCTATATAAATATGTGTATATGTACGTGTGTGCACACACACACACACACATATATATATATATATATATATATATATATATATATATATATAACCAATTATTAAAATAAAAACAGACTTGAAATTTAACTCTGTACAAGATTCTTTTTTTAAAATTGTCTTTTAAAATGCACATTACAATACACTGTCTCTTTATATATCAAATTTAAAGGACCATATCTTTTCCTCAAAATATGTTCATCATGTTCACACACTTATTCCTGACATTTTTGCAAGATATTCAGTCATATTTTTTTCTTTAGAGACAGATAGACAGCACCGAGTCAGTATCTCCCTCTCAAACTCTAAAGATCAAAGCATCTCTCATCTTGTCCTTCTCAAAATCTGAAAATCCAGCTCGCCTTTTTTCTTTTTTTTTTTTTTTACCAGCCGCACAAAGTAACAAACGCTAGCCGGCATGCTTGGGCCCAGGATTACGATCCTTCCAGAATAATCTGTCCATCTTTTTAAGCAAATAGCTTGGACTTCCATAACCAAGGAGAACAACGGTTCTTGTTGACCTGATGAGGGTGTTTAAATGCTAAGC